CAAGTCTCAGAGGCAGGATTTGAACTCAGGAAGATGAGTCTTCCTGACTTCAGTCCCAGTGCTATATACCCTATGGCATACCCCCCTCCCAGCTGCTCCTGAAATCTATCCACAGACCCTAGGTTAAGAACCTCAGATCCAGAGGGAGAAGGATGTCCTACTTCCTACTGACTAGCCAGCATGGACAGCTCCATTAGGCTTTCCTTTGGAAATAATCTTTGCTGGAGACCTTGGGACCACATCCTGCAGACCTGCTGATTTGACCAAAAAGGGATTTGATGAAGCCTTGGCTAGTTGATTTTTGAGGTCACATTGATGTTCTTTATTTGGAGTTTAATCTCCAGAATTAACATTCCTTCCACCGGGCTGGGCCTTGGAAGGTTTGTGAAGGGATGGAAACCCAAAGAAATGAACCCTGAGCTCTAATCCATATTATTCTGGCCATGTGGTTCACAAATAAGTCCTTTGTTTAGAGGGCAGCATTAGGGGCAGGCCCACTTTGGAAGGCAGCTGCTTGCCAGGGTCTTCAAGGTTCTCCCACTCTCTCTCGTGGTCCTTTTGCATGAGTTTTTTGTGGGTTTTTTTTTTGGCAAAGAGTGGGATTACAGGTTCTCTGGGTTTGAAGCTGTAGTAACAATAATAGCTCACAATTACAAAGGCAACCTGATGTTATGAAAAGAGCAGGTCTCAAAGCTAGGAAGACCGGGTCTCAAGTCCTACCCTGATGGCATACTGGCTGTGTGACCCTGGTCAAGTCACTGAATCTTGTAGTGATCTAGGCAGCTCTCTAAGACTACAGATAGCAGAAAGATGCAGACCTGTATTGGGAGAGAAAGGGTTTTTTTTCCCCAACCACAAATTCCTTATATCGGTGAAATCAGAGGTCTAGTCCCAATCACAAGGATCCTTAGTCTTTTTGTGTGTCATAGATACCTTGGGCAGACTCATAAAGCCCATGGGCCCCTAATGTTTTTAGCTGTATAAAGTAAAATACAAAAAAAACTAATTATATTGAAATGCAATTGTCAAAATATTTAAAAACAAATTAGCAGCCCCCAATCCAGGGACCCCAGTTTAAGAACCTCTGACCTATCCCGTTTATATGATTCTTCATGGTTTGTTTGCAAAGCATTTTCCATATTTTTTTCTCACTTGATCATCACATCATCCTTCTGGCATAGATAATACAGGAACTACTGTCCCTATTTTACACTTGAGGAAACTGAGGCTCAGAGGGGTTAAAAGATTTGTTGAGGATCATGCAACTACTATACATCTGAAGACCAGCTTTATATCTACTCCATGGCTACCTCTCAAAGCAAATCACTTTATTTACATATTATTTAATTATGAAGTAGGAAAACTAGGAATAATAAGTATGATGGCTCACATTTATGTAGTCCTTTAAGTCTTGGAAAGGTAAGTCCTGAAATCAACAAGAAATCCCAGAGGTCATCTAGTCCAACCCTCTCATTTTACAGAGGAGGAAACTGAGGCCCAGGCAAGTGAAGCAACCCAAAGTCATACAAACATCACAGGTAGAATTTGAACTCAGGTCCTCTGACACCAGAACCATTATTCTTTTCACTGTACCATAGTAGTCCGAGCTGCCTGAATGGGGACCCAGCTGACCAGTTCCAGTTGGGTAAGTCAACTTGTCCTCTCCTGTCCTGTCCTGTCGTCTCCTCTCCTCTTCTCTCCTGTCCTCTCCTTTCCTATCCCCTCCTGTCCTGTCCTGTCCTATCCTGTCCTCTCCTCTCTCCTTAACTGAAGGTGTTCTGCCTGAAGGAAGTTAAATTTTGATGGCCAAAAGCTGCCTAGTTCACTTGGGGTTTACTGGCTACATCTCTCTCTCAAAGTCCAAGGCTAAACCCAATTCACTCTGGAGCTCATAGATTGGACAACAATAGGTCCCTGCCCAAGCACCACTTAATGGTTATTTTTTTGGGCCCTCCAGGCTCAGAATGAGTGTAAATAGTAACTGTTTCTCTTTTGGCCAGTAACCCTGAGGGTCTTCCCCTCCCAGTTTGATTTTTATTATTTAAAATTTTTTATTATTTTATTAAATGTTAAATTATTTTAAATTACATTTTGATTAAAATTATTTTTTTATTAAATCCCTTGACTCACTTCTTAAAGAGGCCTGTTCACTGAATGGGTGTTGCTTCACTCACAGTGAGAACCTCAAAAGACCTTAGCTTAAAAGGGCCAGGGTCCCTCATTGCATCCTGAGCCTTCTCAAGTCATGCTGATGAATATCTGGCCACTGGACCCAGATGGCTCTGGAGGAGAAAGTGAGACTGGTGACCTTGCACCGCCCTCCCTCACTCAAGTCTAAGTCAATTGCAAAGTCATGTCATCATCTCCCAGATGTCATGGTCTTCTTTGAGAATGAAGGACAAACACAAGGTACTGAAAATGTTATTGCCTTCATTTTATTAAAAATAGGAAATGGGAGAAATTTATAAAGGGGGGGAGTAGGGGGCATTTATCACCAGGCTGATACTTCCATACAAATCTGGCAACAATTTTAGAACTTACAGTGAAGCCAGAAAATTCAAATCCATCGAACATTGATTAAAACACCTACTGTGTGCAGCACAATATGCTACGTGCTGGAGAAACAGAGATGAATTCAGAGAGGGTCCTTGCTTTCTAGTTTTCAATCTAGCAAGAGGATGTAAGTAGATACAGGCCATAGAATGCCATAGGTATAGAGAAGTGAAGCACAGCGGGATGAAATTGGAAAGGAAAGAGTCAAGATTTAGGCGGGGCAGGAGCATGGGGAATCAGAGAAGGCTTCCTGCAGGAGGTGGTGCTTGAACAACTAACAACTATGCATGAAAAAAATTACCATTTTAGTGGGTGCCAGATGACAGAGCCTCAGACTTTTTTTCCTGAAGAACAGCCCCACTTCCCTACCTCTTCCTCTTCTCTCCCTAGAACTGAAGAACATTTGATCTGGAAGGGATTTTGGAGATGAACTGGTGCACCCCCTTCATTCTAGAGATGATTTTCTAGAAAGACTCAGAGAGCTGAAATGACTTACCCAAGGGCACAAAGCACGAGTCAGGATTCACACATAGGTCTCCTAACTCCCTATCTAGTGGTACAAGTTCATCCATTCTGTATTACTCTCTCTCTCCAAAGCTAGGCAAGAACTAATTGCTTGCACAAAGGTCAGGTAATCTCCTTTCCGTTCAGAACAGAGGTTGATCCTTGGACTATTTCCATAAACTCAGATTACCTTCACCTGCAAATCAACAACAGTGAAATACTTTGGTTTACTCATAGGTGTAAATCTTAGGTCCTTTTCTGGGGAGGGGCCACAAGAAATTGAAGTTTCCTTGGTAGCATTTCATTCTTATTCAGAATTTTACTTCAATGCCTCCCAAATATGAGCAAACAGAATCATATCTCCCTGGATTCATTCACCCACAGATGCAGGTAATAGAGCATTCAGAAAAAAATAAAAGTGTGTAGAATAGTTTGCCACATCCTTTTGGTTCCAATAACTGCATTGTGTGAACGTTCAATCCATCGTGGTGGGGTGAGAGAGATGGAGAGGAAGACTAGAAGGGAGGGGTAATCTGAGATTTCATCCTAAGACCTTTTATTATGTTGCCGGGCCATTGAGACATAGATTCACTTCCTATCATGACAGTAAATCATAGAATCACAGATTTAGCTGTAAGGGAGTTTGGAGTTCATCTAGTCTAAGAGTTTTTAATCTTGTTTGCTCATGGAACCCTTTGGCAGCCTGGTGAAGCCTATGGACCTTTTAGAATATTGTTTTTAAATGCATAAAACAATATACAAAGGAAACCAAAGGGAAATTAAAACAAATAGGTATTTTTTTCCCGTTCAAGTCCACTAAGCCCTTGAAACTAAGAGCCTATGGACCTCAGATTAAGAATCCCTCATCTGGTTCAAACTCACATTTTCCAGATAAGGAAACTGAGGCTTAGGGACATTTATAACCTGCCTAAGGTCACACAGATGATAAGCATCAGAGGCACAGTTTGAACCCGTATCCTCTGACTTCAAATCCAGCATCCTTTCCGTTGTACCATACAACCTCCTAGATATTTGCAGTCATCTGTGCTTTTCAAACACAAAAGTATAGGCTTCGGTTTTAGATTCCATGCTTTAATTTTGGAAAATGTCGTGGTGTAAGATTACTTTAGATTATAGGTTGTTCAATGAAATGTCAGAACGTTATTGCAGTCCCTCATGGGGAGCTGGTTGCTCTAGTTATACGGGAACATGCAAAAGAGGGGAGATGTATGGAAAAAAAAGCTTAAGAATCTCTGCCTTCTCAATGTTCCAGAACTCCAAAGCCCCACCAAACTTCTGAACTCTTTACTGAATTTTTTAAAAACTGGATTAAGATCAATGCAATTTATTCTCTTCTTCAAAGGTCGGCAGGAGGCTGTAGTGCCCGCTGGCCAGGGTCCTGGAGGCTGGGGGCCAAGTTTCAAAATAGGGAAGGCAACGTAGCAGCCAAGACTATACTCCCACTCTTCTCCTTACTCTTAAAGGTAAGGGTTTATCCAATATTTCTACTGGCCATTGTAATTTAAATATCGGCCTCCTTCGTCTGTTCATTAAAGCGATTTGTATCTCAAGTCCCAACTCCACTAGCCGCCCAGGCTCTAAGAACAGCAGTAACTTGGATCTCCCGGGGGAGAGGTGGAGAAACATAAGGAGAACCTTATTAAGATTCCTTTTTTTCTTCTTTCTCTTATTGACAACTCAGTTGAAAAGAATGGGAATGGTGAGGGAGCGGTTATTTGGTCTATGTTTATTTAGGGAAGTTAAATGACTTCAGGGCAAGGGGAGAAAGACTTAGAGCCACTCGGGAAAGGGTCTGTACTTCTGTACTTCTGGGCTTAAAAAAGAAAACAACAACAAACTCCAACAAATGCATATAAAAGACTAGCAGCCGATCATGTCTGGAAGCTTCCAGAACGGAACGGAGAAGCGAAAATCTCACTTACCCCCTCCGTACATTTGACATAAGTAGGGAAACCTCCAGACGTTCCCTAGTCCCACTGCATAGGAAATGCAGGCGAACACGAATTGTAAGGGGTTGCTCCACTGAGGTCGGGCTTTCTCCATTTCCACCATCGCGGCTCCCTGCGCGCTCGATGCAGGCTCGCGAGTCTTCTTAAGAGGCTTGCTTGTGCGCGTGTCCGCGGGTGTCTGGGTTCCTGGGAGCCTGCTTGCCTTCGCTGCAGCTTCAGGTGCTCTTCCAGCCCAGCCTGAGTCTGCAGGCAGCCCAGCCCACTACACAGACAGGAAAGCACACTTGCCAATTGTTATCAAGCATTTTAATTACTAATCTTATTAACGGGCACTCACGGTAGTAGGAATGCTGGTAAATAGTTTATAGACAACCCCCCCCCCCCCCCCCCCCCCCCCCCCCCCCCACTTTGGCCTAGAAAAAAACTTCCAAGGCTACTTGGAGTTTGGGTTGTTCATTGGCCTGGATAACTGGGGCCAGAAGGCGCTGCAGAGAGTAGGAATTGAAGATTTGGGAAATTCATTCTCCTTCCACATTGGAGCAAGGAGAGGGAAGGCCTGAAGGCAGCTGTGCCCACTTTTAGGGCTTATTTTTCCTGTGGCATTTCATGGTATAGAAAGGGCTTTCTTGGAGGCATCTCTCTTCTACCTAACTGCCCCTTTTTATAATGCAAATAGTACAACTCTTATTACACCCATTTTAGAGATGAGGAAACTGAAGTCCTGTGGTCACACAGCACCAAAGGAAAAGGACAACCTTGGAAGACAAGCCCAGTACTTCTTCCAGCAGTTTTTAAGGTTTACAAAGTGTTTCTCTTACAACAACCCTGTTTGGTCAGTAATAATAATAATAATAATATCTAGCATATACGTATATATGTATATATATAGCACTTTTTAAAAGGCTCAAGCCTTTTAAAGACAATTGATCCTCACAACAAGTAGGTAGTTGTCATGATTGATTATTCCCCATTTTACAGATTAAGAGACTGATGCTACAAGTCAATTGCCAAGGTTATATAAGTGTTTTAGGCAGGATTTGAACTCAGGTCTTTCTGACTCTCATCCTGGCATTCTACCCACTGAACCACCCAGCTCCCACTAACTAGTTTTATGACTCTAGTCTTTCATCTCTATAGGAATGAAGCTTCACAAAATTTCAGGTTGGAAGGAAACTTAGAGATCATGTTGTCCAAGCCTCTTATTTTACAAATGAGGAAACTGAGGTCCAAAGAGAAGAGGTAAGTAACTTGTCCAAGGATCCATAGGCTAGAGTGTTGAACCTGGTGTCATGGAGACCTGGGTTCAACACCTATCTCAACATTTAGTAGCCATGTAACCACAGGCAACTTACTTTTAACCCTTCTGAGTCTCAGTTTTCACACCTGCAAAATGGGGGTGATCATACTTGTCTTATAGACCTCAGAATCATTGTGATGCTCACATGAAATAATGTGATGCTCAAATGAAATAATTTTGCCCAGATCTTACATTTGAAAAATTTTTTTCCTGATATCTTAATATTTCTATATTGCCTCCCCCACTCAGCACTGAACCCGCTCTTGTAACAAAGAAAAATATTTAAGGAAAACTGACAGATAGCATAATGGAGTCTTAATAGTACTTAGTATAGTGTCAGGCACATAGTAGGCACTTAATAAATGTTTATTGAATGGCCACTTAATGATATCTGCAATAAATTCGCCCAATACTGTGCCCATGGTCCCCTGACTCTTAGGCACAAGGAGAGAAAGGTATGCTCTATTATCCGTTCCCTGGGACCAAGGTTGATCATTACAATTACTCAAGAGTTCACTTTCCTTTAACTGTCCTTTTCTAACAAAACAATGCAATAACAGTATATTCCCTTATGGTTTTACTCTCTTTACCCCCTCGTCAATTCATTATGTCTCTCCTCTTTAAAACAAACAAACAAACAAAAAACCCTCTCGTTCATTTCTTAGAATTCCTTTATTTTTCAGATCAGGTAATGATAAAGACATCCTTTGCTGTTTGTCCATTTCTTTTTTTCTTTTGGCTAGGCAATGGGGTTAAGTGACTTGCCCAGGGTCGCACAGCTAGTAAGCGTTATGTGTCTGAGGTTGGATTTGAACTTGGGTCCTCCTAAATCCAGGGCCGGTGCTCTATCCACTGCACCACCTAGCTGCCCCCATTTGTCCATTTCTCAAAAAGGACCAAGATATCAGGGAGGTGATGCCATGACTAGCAAGTGAATTGGATTTAAGTGAGTGAGGGCCGTGCAAAGTCACCAGCCTCAGTGGTAACATATAGATCAGGACGACTGGAGATGACTCCCCAAGACTTTAGCTAGGACTTGAAGAAGGTGAGGAAGGTTAAGTCGTTGGTTGCAGAGGCAGAGCTAGGACCCAGATTCCCTGGTTCCTTCCTCTGCTCTGTGCTGCACTGCTGGAGTGAACAGCTTGTTCAGAAGAAAAGGTTCCCACAGGGGAACAAACTCTTCCCCACTGTTCATGTGGGCCACCAAAGCTGAGGATAAGCCACTTGGGACGTTTTCTCTGGCCTTTCTGCCCACCTCGGCCTCATAAAGGATAAACAAGAAGATCTTTGTTTATAAAAGCCAAGTTTATGTGAATAGTCTGATTCCTAGCAGAGATAGGGAAGGAGAGGCATTGCCTTTCCCCCCACTACACTGTATATAGTATTCAGAATCCTTTTTTCCCCCTTCCATATGTATTCCTTGTGCTCAGCACACTGGGCACTAAACTTCATAAATGCATTTTCTAATCCAAACTAATTTATTACTATGTACCATGCACTGGACTAAACTCTAGGGATACAAAATTCTTGCCTTCATGAGGCAGACACTTTAATGGGAGAAACAACATACAAATAACTAGATCTGTATATGCTATCTATAGAATAGCAGGGAGGTAATCTCAAAGGAGATATTAGCAAAGGAGGAGGGTGGGGGTGGGAGACAGAGACTGGGAAGGACAGAAGGTGGGATTTGAGCTGAGTCTTGAAGGAAGCCAGGACAACAGAGAAGCAGGAGTGAGGGGTTGGGGGGAGGAGTTTTTCCAGCATGGGGAACAGCTAACGCAAAAGCAAAGAGTTGGGAAATGGAGCGTTGTGTTCAAGGAACTACCAGTAGGACAGTGTAGTTGGGGCGTAGCTTCCTGGAGGGGAGGAAGGTGTGAGGAGATTGGACGTGTAGTTAAGGGCCAGGATATGGAGAGCTTTTGGTGACAAACTTTATATTTGGACCTGGAGATAATAGGGAGCCACTGAAACTCATGGAGCAAAGGAGTGACTTGGTCAAATATAATCTTTAAAAATTTTTAAAAATTTATTTTATTTTTAATTTATGGAACAAAACAAACATCTCTATAACTTAGTACAATTAAAAAAAGGTTGCACGTGAAATTGCAGATTTATTATGTACAACTTGCTATTTATATCAAATACATAATAAAGTTATCATGTAAATTTCTTTTTTTATTCCCTCCTCCCACCCTGCCCTAGAGATGACTATCATGAGACACAAATATGTGTGTGTACATGTGTGTATATATGTATCTATGTATGTAAAATCATTCTATTTTCAAACTCTGAAAATAAATGACCAAAGAGCCACAGAGGTTATTCAACAACTGTTAACTCTGAAAATACCAAAGAGCTCATGGAGTTTGTACGCCAATTGTTACCTCTGAAAAATAAAATAAAATAAAATAAACCAAAGAGTCATAGAAATTAGAAGCAAAAAGCTTTCTTTATTCTATTAGAGAAGGGAAACCAGACCCGGTTGCTGGAGTCTTCTCTAGGAGGAGACCCAAAGCAGCAAGCCTGAGCCTTGATGCATGTAGTAGTGGCTAGACAAAGACCCAGGCAGTGAAGTGTAGCTGTGGCAATAAGGGATAACAGCAACAATGAGGCAAGTTTGATTCATGGTAGGGTTTCATGACAGGGACGTGGTTCCTACAGGTGCTTGTCTGAGCTCTGTGATTCTGTGATTTAGCTACAGCAGTGTTCATCCAGAGGGTGAGTGGAAAGGATTGTTGTCATGCCAAGCTCAGGGCACAGCTTGCCTGCTGGGCCTTAGCTCTGGAAGTCAGAGTGTCTCCTAAGAGTAGAATGAAAGGAGTGAAAAGAGAGGGGTGGTCTTGGCATGAGGATCCTGACACTATACATACTTCTATTTATCAGTTCTTTCTCTGGATACAGATGGTAGTTAATTTTATTTTTATTATTTTTATATATAATTATTTATTTCAATTTAATTAGTTAATTAATGTAACTACTTTGTAGTTAATTGGGATATTTATAATAGTCAAAATGACTTCTTTGCTCAGAGTTGTTCTTATAACAATATTGCTATTATTGTGTACAACATTGTCTTAGTTCTGTTCTTTTCGCTCTTCATTATTTTGTGTAAGTCTATCCATGTTTTTCTAAGATCACTGAGCTCATCATTTCTTATAGCATAGTAGTATTTCATCACAATCATATGCCACAACTTGTTCAGCCATTCCCCAATTGACAGGCATCCCTGCAATTCCCAGTTTTTTGCCACTACAAAGAGAACTGCTATAAATATTTTAGAATATATAGATTCTTTTCCTTTTTCCCTAATCATTTTTGGAAATAGACCTAGTAGTGGTATTGTTGGGTCAAAAAAGTATAGGTAGTTTTATACTGGCCGCACGCCGACCTTCTGCCGGCCGCACGCCGGTACCCGCTCCTCCTATAAGAAGCACACTACCAGAGTCTTACTCACACTCGAGTCTTCGGTCCTCAGCCGGATCAACACACAGAGATGAGCCATCGGGAGGAGCCAACACCAGAGCTTTATTCAGAGGCCATCACAGCAAGCCATCATAGCAAGCCCAAGCAGCAAGGCCAGAGCAACAGGGCAGAAGCCAGGAAGAGCGCGTGTGTGATCTGACCATGCTCGTTCCTAAATACCTACCTAGCCCCTCCTCCCCAGCCCGCTTACTAGCCAATGATTGTAGGGTCAGATACCGGAAGGGGCTGTCTGAGTTTAGCACACCAAGGGGGAGGGAGTGACATAGGAGGCTAGGACCGGATACAGGGAGGAGGCATCTGGGAATGGCGCATAGACAAGA